GAAACGACAGATGCTGGTGAGGGTGTGGAGAAAGGGGAACCCTCCTTCATTGTTGGTGGGAATGCAAGCTGGTGCAGCCACTCTGGAAGACAGCATGGAGGCTCCTCAAAAAGATGAAAATAGGGCACCTGGGTGGCTCAGGGGGTTAAGCTGCTGCCTTCGGCTCAGGGTCCTGGGATCGAGTCCTGCATTGGGCTCTCTGCTCAGCAGGGAGCCTGCTTCCCTCTCTCTCTCTCTCTCTCTGCCTGCCTCTCTGCCTACTTGTGATCTCTCTGTCAAATAAATAAAATCTTAAAAAAAAAAAAAAGATGAAAACAGAGCCACCCTACGACCCAGCAATCGCACTACTGGGTATTTACCCTAAAGATATAAATGTAGTGATCCGAAGGGGCACGTGCACCCGAATGTTTATAGCAGCAATGTCCACAATAGCCAAACTCCTAGATGTCCATCAACAGATGAATGAATAAAGAAGATGTGGTATATATACAATGGAATACTATGCAGCCATCAAAAGAATCAACATTTGCTACGACGTGGATGGAACTAGAGGGTATTATGCTGAGCGAAATAAGTCAATCCAAGAAAGACAATTATCATGTGAACTCCCTGATATGAGGAATTTGAGAAGCAATGTGGGGGCTTGGGGGGTAGCGAAGGAAAAAATGAAACAAGATGGGATTGGGAGGGAGACAAACCATAAGAGACTCTTAATCTCACAAAACAAACTGAGGGCTGCTGACGGGGGTGGGGGTGGGGGAGGGATAGGGTGGTTGGGTTATGGGCATTGGGGAGGGTATGTGCTGTGAAGTGTGTAAACGTGGCGATTCACAGACCTGTATGGGACTAATAATGGAGCTAATAATACATGATTATTAATATTAATTATTAATATGATTAATTATAATTATTAATATTATTAATACATAAGAATTGATGTAATGTTAATAAAAATTAATAATTAAAAAATCAGTTGCTTTCTAATACACTAACAATGTAACTGTAGGAAGAGAAATTAGAGAATAAATTCCATTTACAGTAGCATCAAAACCCATAAGATACCTTGGAATAAACCTAACCAAAGAGGCAAGGGACCTATACTCTAGAAACTACAGAACACTCATGAAAGAAATTGAAGAAGACACAAAAAGATACAAAAACATTCCATGTTCATGGGTTGGAAGAATAAATATTGTTAAAATCTGCTGGCCAGAGCAATCTATATTTCCAAAGCCATCCCAATCAAAATACCAATGGCATTTTTCAAAGTGCTAGAACAAACAATCCTAAAATTTGTATGGAATCAGAAAAGACCCCGAAGCGCCAAGGATATGATATTGAAAAAGAAAAGCTGGGGGCATCATGTTGCCTGATTTTAAGCTATATTACAAAGCTATAATCACCAAGACAGCATGGTACTGGCACAAAAACAGACACATAGGCCAGTGGAACAGAATAGAGAGCCCAGATATGGACCCTCAATTCTATGGTCAAGTAATCTTCAACAAAGCAGGAAGAAATATCCAATGGATGAAAGACAGTCTCTTCAATAAATGGTGCTGGGAAAATTGGACAGCTCTATACAGAAGAATGAAACTGGTCCATTCTCTTACACCATACACAAAGATAAACTCAAAATGGATGAAAGACCTCAATGCGAGACAGGAATCCATCAGAATTCTAGAGGAGAACATAGGCAGTAATCTCTTCAGCATTGGCCACAGCAACTTCTTTCAAGATATGTCTCCAAAGGCAAGGGAAACAAAAGCAAAAGTGAACTTTTGGTACTTCATCAAGATAAAAAGCTCTGAAAAGCAAAGGAAATAGTCAACAATACAAAGAGGCAACCCATGGAATGGGAGAAGATATTTGCAAATGACACTACAAAGGGCTGATATCCAGGATCTATAAAGAACTTCTCAAACTCAACACCCAAAAAACAAATAACCAAGTAAAAAATGGGCAGAAGGGGCGCCTGGGTGGCTCAGTGGGTTAAGCCTCTGCCTTTGGCTCAGGTCATGATCTCAGGGTCCTGGGATCGAGCCCTGCATCGGGCTCTCTGCTTGTCAGGGAGCCTGCTTCCCCCTCTCTCTCTGCCTGCCTCTTTGCCTACTTGTGATCTCTCTGTCAAATAAATAAATAAAATCTTAAAAAAAAAAATGGGCAGAAGACATGAACAGACACTTCTCCAAAGAAGGCATACAAATGGCTAATAGACACATGAAAAATGTTCATCATCATTAGCCATCAGGGAAATTCAAATCAAAACCACATTGAGATACCACCTTACACCAGTCAGAATGGCAAAAATTGACAAGGCAAGGAACAACAAATGTTGAGAGAGCTTGTGGAGAAGGGGGAGCCCTCTTACACTGTTGGTGGGAATGCAGGTTGGTACAGCCACTTTGGAAAACAGCATGGAGATTCCTCAAAAAATTTGAAATAGAACTACCTTATGACTTAGCGATTGCACTACTGGGTATTTACCCCAAAGATACAGATGTAGTGAAAAGAAGGACCTCATGCTCCCCCCAGTGTTCATAGCACCAGTGTCCCCAATAACTAAACTGTGGAAAAAGCCGAGATGCCCCTCAGCAGATGAATGGCGAAAGAAGATGTGGTCCATGTATATAATGGAATGTTACTCAGCCATCAGAAGGGATGAATACCCAACTTTTGCATCAACATGGATGGGACTGGAGGAGATTATGCTGAGTGAAATAAGTCAAGCAGAGAAAGCCAATTATCATATGATTTCACTTATTTGTGGAGCATAAGGTATAGCATGGAGGACATTAGGAGAAGGAAGGGGAAAATGAAGGAGGAACAAACCATGAGAGACCATGGACTCCTGGAAACAAACGGAGGGTTTTAGTGGGGAGGGTGTGGGGGGATGGGTTAGTCCGGTGATGGGTATTAAGGAGGGCACATAGTGCATGGAGCACTGGGTATAATATGCAAGCAATGAGTCCTGGAACACTACATCAAAAACTAATGATGTATTGTATGGTAACTAATAGAACAAAGTAAAAAGAAATGTTTTGACGCCGCCTGGCTGGCTGAGTTGGTAGAGCATGCAACTTTTTTTTTTCCCAGTATTTATTAGAGAGCATGTGCAAGAGGGGTGGGAGGGAGGATGGGTGGGGGAAAGAGAGAAGAGTCTTAGGCCAACTCAGCACTGAGCATAGAGCCCTCAGGCTCCATCCCACAGCCCTGAGATCATGACCTGAACTGAAACCAAGAGTTGGGCGCTCAACCCACTGCAAAACGAGGCACCTCAAGAGGATGCAACTCTTGATCTTGGGGTGGGAGTTAAGCCCCACATTGGGTGTGGAGCCTACTTAAAAAAAAAAAAAAAAAATAAATATATTATAATTAATATTTATATATATATATATATATAGGTTTTACTTATCATTTTCCCCCCATTTCTTTATTTACTATGTCATTTTAGACATTATTTATTTACTTTTTACTCCTTTGTCTTTTATTCTGGTCCTCCATGCTTAAAGGCATACCACATACCTCTGATAGCTTTGTTCATTTCTCTCCATTTTCTCTCTCTTCTTTGATTACACAGTATTTATCAGTCTTGTTCAAGTTGACTAATTCTTTCTTCAGCCAGTTCAAATCTACTGTTGAGCCCCTGTAGTGAGTCACTGTTCTGGGTGAGTGCTCAAGTGTAGGTAGCCTCTGATCATCATGGCTGGGACCCTCACAGTGTGGACCCACTTCCCTAAAGAAGGAACTTGGGTGAGGGCCATTGTAGTTCAAGGAGGAAGCAAGATTTTCAGCCTGCTGTGCTACTAGGATAGAGCTTCCATGCTTTAGGTTGGAGAAAGGGAATCCTGAATTTTTGGCTAGCCACAGAAGGGAAGGAGTCCTATGGGTCCTTGGCTGCACCCATCTAGCGTGAAGTCTCTCTAAAGCTGAAGAAGCAATGGAGTGAGTCCTGGTTCAAATGCCACAGACTCTTGCTGTTAGATTTTCCTGAATAAATGTTTTTTCAGAATATAAAAATTTATCATCTTAAACCATTTTTAAGTATGTAGTTCAGTGGTGATGAGCGTATTCACTTTGTAAAACCAATCCCTAGAACTTTGTCATCTTGCAAATTTGAAACTACACACGTTAAACACTACCTCCCACTCCCTGCCCACCACCTATCTTGTCTCTCTGAATTTGATTACTTTAGGTACCTCACCTAAGTGGACTCATGCAGTGTTTGTCCTTTTGTGACTTATTTCTCACAGCATGGCATCAAAGTTTATTTGTATTATAGCATATGTCAGGGGGCCAATTTGGCTCAGTCATTTAAGCATCTGATTCTTGGTTTTGGCTCAGGTCATTATCTGAGGGTCATGAGATGGAACCCCACTTCCATCGAGCTCCACACTGGCTGTGGAGCCTGCCTAAGATTCTCTTTCTCCTTTCCCTCTATCCCTCTCCCCCCCAAAATAAAATAAAGAATATATATTTAAAATTATATGTATCAATTTCCTTTTTAAGGTTGAATAATACCACATTGTGTGTATATACCACATTTTGTTTATCCATTCATCTGCCGATGGACGCATAAGTTACTTCCACCTTTTGGCTATTGTGAACAATGCTGTTATGAACATGGGTGTACAAATACTTTTTAAGACTGTGCTGTCAGTTCTTTTGGGTATATACCCAGAAATGGAATTGCTAGGTCATACAGTAATTCTTTATTTAATTTTTTAAGGAACTGCCTTACCATTTTCCACAGCAGTTATAACGTTTTACGTTTCCACTAGCAATTCCCAACGGTTTCACTTTCTGCACATCTTTGCGAAACTTTTCTTTTTTCTTTTTCTTTTTTTTTTTTTTATAATAGACATCGTAAAGAATGTGAAATGGTATCCTGTGGTTTTCATTAGAATTTTCCAGAGGATTCATGATTTTCATGTGCTTGTTTTTCATTTGTTTATCTGCAGAGAGTTGTCTGTCTAAAGCTTTTTAAAAATCTGTTTCAGCTCAAATTTCTTTTATTCAAGATATTGGAAGGCTTCCTCTGAAACGACACTTTGGAAGGTAAGCTGATTTAATTTTTTAAAAACCTGTTTCAAGGGGCGCCTGGGTGACTCAGTGGGTTAAGCCTCTGCCTTTGGCTCAGGTCATGATCTCAGGATCCTGGGATCGAGCCCCGCATCAGGCTCTCTGCTCAGCGGCGAGCCTGCTTCCCCCTCTCTCTCTGCCTGCCTCTCTGCTGACTTGTGATCTCTCTCTGTCAAATAAATAAATAAAATCTTAAAAAAAAAAAAAACAAAGCAAATAACAAACCAAAAAAACCTATTTCAAGACCTGTTACTGAAATGTCCACTGAATGTTACCTATTTATTAAGTATACAGCCAGTAAAATTTATCTGTAAAATCTAAGAAATACATGTTATTTCCAGTGATTAATGACCATATGATTGCATTGTATATCCATCATTTTATTACATATAACAATATATTTTCACTGGCTCACAATCATAAAAGTAAGGGGATTTTAAAAATTCTTCATTTAAGGGGCGCCTGGGTGGCTCAGTGGGTTAAGCCGCTGCCTTCGGCTCAGGTCATGATCTCAGGGTCCTGGGATCGAGTCCCGCATCGGGCTCTCTGCTCGTTAGGGAACCTGCTTCTCCCTCTGCCTCTGCCTGCCATTCTGTCTGCCTGTGCTCGCTCTCTCCCTCTCTCTCTCTGACAAATAAATAAATAAAATCTTTAAAAAAAATAAAATAAAAATAAAGCCTGCATTGACCAGCAACTACCACAAAAGCACTCTTTTTTTTTTTTTAAACTTCCTTCTCTTATTAGATTCAGACAAATTAAAAAACAAAACAAAACCGTAGATATAGAGAGGTAAATCTTTATCTGTGCTGTTCCTTTTATTCCAAAATCACTTCTGGGCTAATACAGTGATTAACCCAATACCTATATTTCATTTCTACTTAGCTTATTTGTAAGGTCAAATTTTAAAAGTTTTAAAAGGGCTTTTTAACTGCTATTACTGGTTCAACTACTTGATCTAACTTGGGAGACAGGATTTGTCAGTGCTATTTACTATAGTCATTCATGATGACCGTATTTAGGGATGCCTGGCTGGCACAGTCAAGATAGAGCATGAGACTCTCAATCTCGGGGTTGTGAGTTCGAGCCCCACGTTGGATATAGAGATTACTTAAATAAACAATCATGATGACCATATTTAATATTATAATTGATTCATGTTGACAATATTAAACAATATATAGCTTGATAGTTAATATTTAATAGTACACCTTATTTTTGTACATTTAGCTTATTTCCAATTTTATCACAGTTTTCCTTGTAGCTTTAATCATTGTGAACATCAAATGCTATTTACATAGAATGTATTCCTAAAAATAAACTTGCTGGATCCATAGATACACACTTTTCTGAAGCCTTTGTTCTATATTGCCAGATTACTTCCAGGAATATTTTGCCAGTTTTATGTCCACTTATTGTGTATCAGTATATTCTTTTCTCCTAGCTCTTGGCACCACTGGGTTTTATTAAAACCTTCCTAAAAGGTCTTGTGGCACTTGGCTGGCTCAGTCAGAAGAGCATGAGACTCTTGATCTTGGGATTGAGTCCCATGTTGGGTGTAGAGATTGATCTCATGTTTGAGTCTCACGTTGGGTGTAGAGATTAAATAAATGAAACTTTAATAACTAACTAAATAAATAAATAAAGGTCTTTGCCAGTTTTAAAGATGATGGTAGTAGTTCATTATTTTAATTTCAATTTTTAAAATTACTAATTAGGTTGAACAATTTAGTTACCATTTGTATTTTTTATGTAAATTCTCCCATTTATACCCATTTTTTCCTATTTTTTTTTTTAAGAGAGAGAGTGCGTGGATGTGTGCCCACGAGATGAAGGAAGGGCAGAGGGCTAGGGAAAGAGAAAATATGAAGCAGGTTCCACTCTCAGTGTGGAGCCGATCTGAACCCTGAGATCATGACCCGAGCCTGAATCAGGAGTGTGACACTTAACCAGCTGAGCCACCCAGGCGCCCCTACCCATTTTACTATTCTATTTAATTTTTCTTTTTAATTTGTAAGAACTCTTTAGCAAAGACATTGATCAAGTCGTTTATATTGTAAGTTGTAATGATTTTTTCACATATCGTCATTTACCTTATACTATTTTATACCATTAAATAAACCAAAGGGCTTGGCTAAACAGCGAGCTCAGAGGGGTAAGTGAAAGATTAGAGATGGCTTCATAATTCTCACATGCATGGCATAATTTAAAGATAACCCGTTTTTTCGTTATTATGATGCCTGCATTATGAATCTGGCAGGTTGAAAATGGAAGCCCTGACCGACCGGGAACCTGGATTGATAGACCCAGACAGTGGAGATGAAGCCCATCTTAATGGAGGAGGGCAGCCTGCAGAGGAAGCTCTGGGTGAACCCACTCAAACCGCGGAAACTGAAACATGCTGTCTGCCTTTGAGTCAAAATAGTGGGAGTGAACTGCCTGCCAGCCAGCCTCAGCCCTTTTCCGCACAAGACATGGAAGAAGAAGAGCTGATAATAGAAGACTATGAGAGTGATGGGACATAGAAACCAGCCTGCCGGTCATGGTGCTACTTGGCAGGTTCATGTGCATTTATTCAGTGGTATTTGAACAGAGATAATATACTATTCAAATGAATGACAGCTTAATACTTCACTCTTGTAGTATTTCAGCACAAGAAACTGACTTCTCTGTCATTTTGAAGTAAACAGAAGATCAAGTTTCAAATAATATCTTAATTTTTTTTCCTCTAGTATTTATTTAGTCTTGTGAGTGGTTGGGAGAGGTCAGTGTGAATGACGTGTGTTTGAATATTATGCCAAATATCAAAGAATGTGAAGGAATAACTTAGAATACTAAAACTTTATGGGGTTGTAAATATGAATTATGAAACAGTTTAGCATGCAATTATGAGTGTAAATAAACCTTGTGCCTTATCCACAATTTCTCTATGGTCTCTAACTTCTCAAGTACCATTTTTATATGCTGTACAGTGGACTATTTTAGATGCTTTTTGGAAAGTATTTAATTTATATCAAAATTAAAATGTTGAATTTCTTTTCGTTTCTTTTTTTAACTGTTTCCTAACATAGTCTTGGCCAGGTATCATTGGGCATACATGACTCTCCCTTTATCCGTTGTTAACTTTTCAAAAACAGGGAAGAGAATGGCAACCTTGCGATGAGAACTCTCCGGTGGGAGTAATCACACCTTTTACTACCTTTCCGAGCTGTGTGCTCGCGCCGTGGCGCGGCCGGAGCGGAGTGTGTAACCGCCGCTCTGAGGTGCGGGGCGGGCCCCGACCCTCCCGGGTGCAGAGCCAAAGTCCGGGCCTGACAAAGCCGGGCGGGGCAAACTTGGCTCGGCCCCGCCCCGGGAGCTGAGCGGGCTTTCCTTGCAGTGGGCGGCGTGCGCGCTCTTCCCGGCAGCGGCGCAGGTGAGTGGGTCCGAGGGGTGGGGCCCTCGTGAGGCGGCGGCTGACGAGGAGGGGCCCGGCGCCCCCCTGCCCCCCCACCCGGCAGGTGCGCGGCTGGGGAAGGAGAGGCCTTGGGCCCCTCGGCGCGCGCCCGGGTCCGCGGCGCACGCCACTCAGCTCCGCCATAACCTGCGGCCGAGGCCGGACGGAGACGGGGAGAGAGGTGAGGGCGCCAGGGAGAGCGAGCGTCAGAAGGGCCGCTCAGCCAGCCCGCTTTCATTCAGGGGACACAGGTGCGCGGCGAGGCGCGGCCAGCGGACGCCCTTCCCCGGCGCCGGGATCCTCTGATCCGGATCTGCGCGCGGACTTAGTTCCGGCCGCTTTGGGGCGTCGTCTCGACGGACTGAGAATGGATTTTCTGTCGAACGCGCAGACCGAGCGGTCCCCGGGGTGGGCAGTCCCGGGGAGGGAGAGAGAGACTGGCGGACCGGACGGCGAGCGGCGGGCTCGGGAGCGACCCCAGCGCCCGTGCTCGGTGTCCCTTGTCACTCGCGCGTGGATTAACTTAAAACCCTCGGGCCTTTCCCGGCTCCCAGGAAGCCCAGAAACATCTCGTGGGCCCAGCAAAACTTGAAAGCGATGCTTCAGTTTTTTGTAAAGGCGACAAGTTGGGTTCCCGTGTCACTTTCCTGGGGGAAACCACGTATCCTCCTCCCGCTATGGCTTTCAGAGCTGTGTGCGCCTACGGAAGGGAGCCAGAGTCCGGGGCTTGTCCAAAACAAAGACCCTCTGTGCCTCAGCGTGCTGAATCCAGGAGGGCTCCCAGTAGCGCCCTGAGAGAGACGCTAGGCGCAGCCGGGAACCACGACGTCGGCAAATACCGCTGGCCGTTCCCTTCTAAAATCACGTCTTTTGTTATTCCATGATTCCCCACGTTTATTTTTTGCTTTTTATGTAAAAATTATTTTTATTATGTAAACGTCGATAAGGTGTTCTGATTCGAATGAGTCACTTCACACAGGTGAAGATAAACCCATTTCAGTGAAGCACACGTTTTTACCAGGGTGTTAAATTAAGCAATGGGATATTGAGTTATGTAGAACTTGCTGCAGTCATTTCTGTGCTTTTGCTTCGAGTTTTCTTAGGAAAATATATTTAAAAACAGCAATAGTACAGGGCATTTCTAGAATTGAAATGTTTTTAGACACAGGGGGCGCCTGCGTGGCTGTCGGTTAAGCCTCTGCCTTCAGAGCCCAAGGTCCTGGGACTGAGGGAACCTGCTTCCGCCCCTCCTCCTGCTTTCGGCTCCCCCTACGTGTACGCTGGCTGTCTCTGTCTCTGTCAAGTAAATTTAAAGTCTTTTAAAAAGTAAAATAAATGTTTTTAGTCACAGATGAGATAAATGACAGAGACAAAAATAACTGCTAATTGCTGTCATTTATATCCTACTTTGCACTGGGCACCATGCTGGAACTAGCAGTTAATTCTCTAAATTGGGATACCCCATTAGAAAACCCAGAAATTTAGAACTCTCTACATTTTCACCCATTCCGTGGGTGACTATCTAGTCTATGGTGGTACTTATCCTTCTGTTGTACACTGCCTACTGCTCCTCTCCACCTGGATTTCTAATGGGTATCTAAAACTCTTCAGGCTGCATATCCCCAGGGCTTTCTCCAGTTTGGAGGGGTGGAGAAATGTTGCATATGAAACTATCGGATGTCTGAGATTTGCTTCAAAGTAATCTGTTGGCAGGAGGGATACACGAAACAGGATTGGTCATCAGTGGATAATTATTGAAGTTGATTGATGGGCATACATAGGGTTCATGATACTATTCTTTTCACTTTTTATTATGTTTGAAACTTTCTATAATAAAAAAATTTTAATTCCTTGTGTTAAAAAATTTGACTTCTTTCTATCTCCATTGCTACCACCATGATCCATTGGATTCAGTCAGTGGCATCTTAGCCAATCTCCGTTTTCTTCCTTGTCGCCTGGAGTGTACTTTCGACTTAGTGTCCAGAGTGATCCTATTAAAACATGTCAGATCTTGTCACTGCTCTACTCAGAATGTTTCATGCGCTTCTCCTCTCACTCCTGGTAAAAGCCAAAATCCTTTCCCGTGGTTCTCAAGGCCCTAATGATTCAGATGGACTTAATTCTGCTGCTTACCCTCTCACTCACTGCGGCCACCCTTGCCTCCATGACTTAATAGTACTTGAACTTGCCAGGCACTCCTGCCTCAGGGCTTTTGCACTAGCTGTTCCATCCACCTGGACCGCTTCCCCTGATAACCTGTCTGGCTTCCTCCTCTACCTCCTTCATTTCTTTGTTCAGATGATACATTCTCTGTGAAGACTTCTCAGGTCATTCCATGTAAAATTGTAACACCCTGTGGCAGAGAGCTCCTTATCACCTTTCTTAACTTTGTTCCTTAGCATCCAGTGTATTTCATTTCCCTTATCTGTCATCTGTCTTCCCCACATTGAGACTTAAGTTCCGTGAACTCAGAGATTTCAGTTTTGTTTTTTTTTTTAAGATTTTATTTATTTATTTGACAGAGATCACAAGTAGGCAGAGAGGCAGACAGAGGGAGAGGAAGCAGGCTCTCTGCTCAGCAGGGAGCCTGATGCGGGGCTCGATCCCAGGACCCTGGGGTCATGACCTGAGCCAAAGGCAGAGGCTTTAACCCACTGAGCCACTCAGGCGCCCCTCAGTTTTGTTTTGTTTTTTTTTTTTTGTTTTTTCACTTATACACTTTTAGCATACCTAGTGATTAACAGATGTTTGCTAAATATTCGTTGAACAGATAGGTCTCCATTTTACAAAATGAAATAAAGCAAAGCCTTAGGAGGGTACCTGTGTGGCTTGGTCGATTAAGCATCCCACTCAGGTCATGATCTCAGGGTCATGAGCTCTAGGCCCTCATCAGGCTCGCACTGGGCATGGAGTCTGCTTAAGATTCTCTCTCTCCCTCTGCTCTCTTTCTCTCTCAATTTAAAAACAAAACAAAAAGCACCCAAAGCCTAAGGAACTTCTAAATGGTTCAACGCTACAGAGGTGGGATTCTCCATTTAAACTTTGAGATCTTCATAGTGCCAAGTATAGTACTGTATGTCCAGTTAGTTTTCAGTAAATACTTGCTTATAAGCAATGAGAGGGAGAAATTCATTGTCCTTAAACCTAGTAGTTACATTAGCGAATAGTATCCTTTTTTGTGTGTACATGTAGGTCACTGATTTCGTGAAGGAAGTCAACAGGTTTAGTAAAAGTGCTTTTTGTCTGCTCTATTTTTTAGGTGGATCAAACCTCCTTTGAGATACTGTTTGAGTGTTGCTATGGCAACAGCAAATCGCCTTTAGGTGGCTCCTCTGGAAAGAGTGCTACGCGTGATACACATGGTTGCTCTGTGTTGTACTTCTGGGGAATCTTAACCTTCAGTGATTTTTTTTCTCTGAGAATTCAGTTTTTAAAACCGAGTATCAATAATTAATATTTTAGAGTGGAAGAAGCAATTTCCCCTAAACCAACTTCCCTGATTCAAGAAAGAAAGGGGCTCTTCAGTCCCTGTATTTAATAGAGCTGCTTCTCCCAGGCCATTCCAAAGGAGATTTGAGGTAATGAAAATGAAGAGTATTTGCTGACACATCAAACTTCGGTATGCTCAAACTACTAAATATTTTGATTTAGGCATTTGAGAAAAGAGTTCTGCTTGGGATCTGTTAGTATCCTGTATTATTAAAATTTAGCTTCTTATATAGTTTCTGCACTTTGTTGTTTACAGGGCTCATAGGTAAATTAGACTTAGAAATATTTTAATTCAGAACTAAGATTTTAATTTTGATTACCCTTAAAATCATAAAGAATGATGTTGTTACCCCTGGCTAATATGTTGTATATGTTTAAAAGATATCTATTATCCTTTTTACATATCATGATAATTAGACATGATCATATTGGTTTCCTAAATATGATCATCTGCCATTAAGTGAATAAAATCAAGATCATTGAAGGAATAAATAGCTAGGCATAAGTGATAACTTTAACTTCTTGGCCACAGGTATAAAAGTCACAAATGTCGTCAAATGATGGAAGGTCCAGGAATCGGGACAGACATTATGATGAAGTCCCAAGGGACAGGGACTCACCCTATCAAGACGGCACCATAGGAACCCTCCAGACTCTTCGTGACAGTGAGCTGGCTGTGAGCGCTGATCCCTTGCCACCACCCCCTCTCCCATTACAGCCACCATTCGGCCCCGACTTCTACTCAAGTGACACAGAGGAACCGGCCATAGCCCCAGATCTCAAACCTGTAAGGCGCTTTGTCCCTGAGTCCTGGAAGAAATTCTTCAGAGGGAAGAAAAAGGACCCAGGATGGGATAAGCCAGTGTCTGACATCAGATACATCTCGGATGGAGTGCAGTGTTCACCTCCAGCCTCTCCAGCAAGACCAAACCACCGCTCACCCCTCAACTCCTACAAAGATCCTTGCGGAGGGTCAGAAGGAACCTTTAATTCCCAGAAGGAGGCTGAGGCCATGTTTCACCATGATCCCTACAGTTCCCTCGGCCGACACACACAGACAGCCCAAACGTACAGTGAGAAGGTGGAAGAGTATAACCTGAGGTATTCCTACATGAAGTCGTGGGCAGGCCTGCTGCGAATTCTGGGTGTGGTGGAGCTGCTTTTGGGAGCTGGCGTCTTTGCTTGTGTCACAGCTTACATTTACAAGGACAGCGAGTGGTATAACCTGTTTGGATATTCACAGCCCTATGGCATGGGAGGCATTGGTGGCCTGGGCAGCACGTACGGGGGCTATTATTACAGTGGCCCCAAAACCCCTTTTGTACTCGTGGTTGCTGGATTAGCTTGGATCGCCACCGTTATTATTTTGGTTCTTGGCATGTCCATGTATTATCGGACCATTCTTTTGGATTCTAATTGGTGGCCTCTAACTGAATTTGGAATTAACGTTGCCTTGTTTATTTTGTATATGGCTGCAGCCATAGTCTATGTGAATGATACCAACCGAGGTGGACTCTGCTACTATCCGTTATTTAATACTCCAATGAATGCGGTGTTCTGCCGCGTGGAAGGAGGACAGATAGCAGCGATGATCTTCCTGTTTGTCACCATGATCGTTTATCTCATTAGTGCTTTGGTTTGCCTAAAGTTGTGGAGGCACGAGGCAGCTCGGAGACACAGGGAGTGGATGGAACATCAGGAGGTAAGGAATTTCACCATCCTTCATTCATTTTTCAATTTTTTTCTGTTATTTTCTTCCTTGTTAAATTTGTATAATTGTCAAAACAAGGATTTTATAAAAGCCATTTTTGTTTTTTAAATGATCTGAAATTCGAAAGTCCTGGCTCAGTATCTGACCTACTTTTGGTGAGATAACCCACTGTGGCATGTCACTGATGTGTAACATTGCGAGTGGGCATCCGATGGGGAACACGGTGTATGGTATGTCAGCTGTGCTATGTCTGTGATGCTTACGGGGAAAATTTCTGTAACAAAGAATAATACCGTTTTCAGTACAATGACTGTCTCGTCATTAAAGTAAGTTTGAGAACAAGGTTGATTCTTTAGTGTGGTAAAGCTCAATAAAAAACACAACTTTTAGGTTTTAGGTGGAAAGTGCTCATTTACAAGTTATGATGAGTGGCACTTTCCTCCAGTGACTTAAATAAAGTCATATAAGAATATAGTGAACCACGTTTGGTTTTTTTAAGTATCAAGAGGCTGAGTTATAATGAACATACTCTGAAAACTTGCCCAGGCATTTTGATGTTTCATTCTTATTTTGGGAAGATGAGTGTTCCCAAATTAGAATGGGAGCCTGGCACTTGTTTTTATTTCCAGGATTTAACTAATTAAATAGAAGAAGGAGGAGAAGGAGAATTAATAATAATAATGATAATGATGCCTGGAGGATAAGATTATATAAAAGCCATATTTAAAATTATTTTATTTGAACAGTAGCAAAAATGTTAGAGTGTGTTCCTTTAGCATCCATTATACCGTGAAATGAGTTGTTTTGTTTTCTTTTAAGGAGAAGTGTGTAGTAGAATTACCTATGCTACCAACAATGTCTTATTAATTTTTTCTTAATTTTGAGTCAACTTATTATGCATTTTTCTTTTCCCACATTTTTTTTGTTAAGATTTTTTATTTATTTGAGATAGAGAGTGAGATAGAGAACATGAACATGGGGAGGGTATAGAGAGAAGTAGACTCTGTGCTGAGCAGGAAGCCTGATGGGAGACTTGATCCCAAGTCCCTGGGATCATGACCTGAGTAGAAGGCAGATGCTTAACTGACTGATCCACCCAGGTGCCCTCTTTTTCCACTTTTCAAAAATTTCCTAGGTATTATATAATTGCAAGTACTATATATATGGGCAAAACTAGGTTAAAATGAAATCCTGCCCTTATTTACTCAGTAACCTATTTATTTACTCACCTGTACATTTTGTGTTTAATCTTTTGTACAATCTTACACATAACAACAAAAAACTGCATTAATTTTGTAACAGGTACCTTATGTGTTATATGAAGAACCTCAACATGTTTCATTGTTACCTATACTCTCTCATCACAAAATATATTAATCTTATTAGAACTCCACATAGATTCAAGTTATTTCTAAAAATTTATGTCAGCACATTAATCATATTTCTTAAATTTACATCAGTGTATACAAAATAATTTCAAATTTTAATCAGTGTGAAGTGTGGATAGTGAAACACACTTCTTCATGATTTTATGTAAGTCTAATAACAGCAAACTTATTTTTTTCTTAAAGATTTTATTTTTGACTTGACAGAGTGAGAGAGAGCGAGAGAGCACGCAAACAGGGAGAGCAACAGGCAGAGGGAGAAGGAGAAGCAGGCTCCCTGCCAAGGAAGGGGCTTGATGTGGGCCTTGATCCCAGGACCCTGGGATCATGACCTGAGCCAAAGGCAGATGCTTAACGTATTGAGGCACCCTGGCGCCCGTCAACAGACTTCTTAATATCATTTCAAAATTCTACATGAGTCTGACTATAATTATCAACATAAAACATTCATTTCTGTCTCCTTTCTCAAAACTTGTTTCCATAAGACTTTTTTTTTCCTTTTTTGGGAGAGAGAAAGAGAGCAAGCAAGAGAGAGCACAAGCAGGGAGGATAGGGGGAAGCAGGCTTCCTGTGAACAAGGAGCTTGATGTGGTGCTGGATCCCAGGACCCTGGGATTGTGATCTGAGCCAAAGGCAGACACTTAACTGACTGACTGAGACCAGGTGCCCCCCATAAGACTTTTTATGATGGTTGATTAGACTTGAATTAGCTCTCATGTAGGAGGTTGTGCCACTTTGTATGTGGCTGTAACTTTTTTTTTTTTTTAAAGATTTCATTTACTTACTTGACAGAGAGAGACACAGCATGAGAGGGAACACAAGCAGAGGGAGTGGGAGAAGGAGAAGCAGGCTTTCCGCTGAGCAGGGAGCCCAATGTGGGGCCCGATCCCAGGACCCTGGGATCATGACCTGAGCCAAAGACAGATGCTTTACGACTGAGCCACCCAGGTGTCCCAGTTGCTGTAACTTCTTAAGAGTTAGAGGCTTTAATGGCCTGTGGGTTTTTTCTATTAATTTTATACCTATAACAATTTAAATTATTTAATTGCACAGGGTAGTGGGAGCCAAGAATAAATTAAAACTTCTAGGTAATTCAATGCAATTTACCTAATAGTCTCTATTAGGTCTGTACCTCTAACTGTGTGTTCCTGACAGACAGGGAGTTACAGTTAACCCACCTCCCTCTGCTTCTTCGCTAGCCCATCCAAAGTCACCCAGATGAGCAGGGAACATCTGTCAAGTAGAGAATCCAAATCTGTGAAATTGAGATTGGGCTATAAATACAAATGGATGAAAATATTTACAAAGTAGACTCACACCTCTCTGAAAAATCATTTTCACTCTTTTTTATTTTAGATAAGTGAGCCATCATTGCCATCCAAAAGGAAAATGGTAAGAATAAAGTTCACATAGTATTTTATGTCTAGCTTGTTAAATGTTTTCTATCTTATCTGTTACCTACAGAGTAGATCATCTGTCTGTGAAAGTGTGTCTATTACATTGAGTTCCTAACTGAACATCTAGTTCAACTTTCAGCTTTTTTCTCATAATGAAAGGATCAAATTAGACGTGCACATGGTGTATGTTGGGCAAAACTGTAAGTGCTATCGGTTTTTTTTAGCTTCTTTTCATTTTGTTAGTTAAGATTATGCAAGTGAACAGCCATTTCTTCTTATGTTTAAAATTAAATTTAAAATTAAATTTAATTTAATTTTTAAAATTAAGTTAAAATTTTTTAAGCCCAGGGGATTCTCTCAAATTTTCTTTAGTCTTTTCAAAGTCCTTTTCTTTTCTTTTTTTTAAATTTTATTTTATTTATTTGACACAGAGAGAGATCACAGTAGGCAGAGAGGCAGACAGAGAGGGAGGGGAAGCAGGCTCCCTGCTGAGCAGAGAGCCTGATGCAGGGCTCGATCCCAGGACCCTGAGATCATGACCTGAGCTGAAGGCAGAGGCTTAACCCACGAAGCCACCCAGGTGCCCCCAAAGTTCTTTTCAAAGTTTGGTGTTCTTTTTCTCACCTTGCTTTTGGATGCTAAATTTTGTTGTGGCAGGAAGAAAATTCCTATTCCAGAATTGACTAACATCATGGCAGTAGTCAAGATATTTACCTTTCCATGCCTTCATTTGTTCATCTGTAAAGTTGGAATAATAATTGATTCCTAAAAAAAAAATTTTTTTTGAATCTTTTTTTTTTTTTTTAAAGATTTTATTTATTTATTTGACAGAGAGAGATCACAAGTAGACGGAGAGGCAGGCAGAGAGAGAGAGAGGGAAGCAGGCTTCTTGCTGAGCAGAGAGCCCGATGTGGGACTCGATCCCAGGACCCTGAGATCATGACCCGAGCCGAAGGCAGTGGCTTAACCCACTGAGCCACCCAGGCGCCCCTTTTTTTTGAATCTTAAAAAATAATTGATTCCTACCTCACATTTGCCGAGAGAATTAAATGAGATGCTGTTATTATATTTAATAGCGTATATGTAAAAACCTAATATATTTTAATAATCATAATTTTATCTCATTGAAAAATCCTTTTTTAAAGGTACTGGGCATTATTCTAAGCAAGAAGTTGAGAATTCAGCCTTTGGATTTGTTTCTTTGTAAAGGGAGTGTATGTACTTGGTTCAAAACTAAATGTCTTCTCTCAATGTCTTCTCTCATATCTCATGCCTCAGCTTCCCAGCTCTCCTACTTGGATGGAACCATCGTTATCAGTGTCTTGTGTTTCCTTTCAGACATGTGTTTATATTATCTGTATATGTAATGTGTACACACACACACACACACACACACACACACACTTACTTTACTCCCCCTTTCACACAAATGCTGGCATACCATACCTACTGTTATGCCCCTTATTTTCTTCTCTTAACAATACATTTCTAAGACATTTCCTTATTAGTACATAAAGAACTTCTGCATTCTCTTTTTGTAACTATATAGTACTGCATTGTATAGGTGCTCTTGTTTTTTTTGACTGCCTTGTTGCCCAATGGTAGTTTTACCAAGTTCCACTCCCAGGAGTACTGTAGTCTTCCTCACATCTTGACCAACACAGTGTTAGGAAAATTGTTGACATCTGTCAACCTGATAGGTGAAAAATGGTGTCTAAGGTAGTTATAATTTGCATTTGTCTTTTAAGGAGTGAGACTGACCATTTTTCACATGTTATGTTTGCTTTTCCTTCCCTGTTTACTCTTCGTATCCTGTCTTTTTATTTTTTTTAATTTTTTAAAAAATATTTTTTTTATTTATTTGACAGAGATCACAAGCAGGCAGAGAGGCAGGCAGAGAGAGGGGGGAAAGCAGGCTCCCTACCGAGCAGAGAGCCCGATACGGGGCTCGATCCCAGGACTCTGAGATCGTGACCTGAGCGGAACACAGAGGCTTAACCCACTGAGCCACCCAGGCGTCCCCCTCCCCCGTCTACTTTTTTTTTTTTAATTTTATTTATTTATTTGATAGAGACAGAGATCACAAACAGGCAGAGAGGCAGGCAGAGAAAGAGGGGGAAGAGCAGGCTCCCTGCTGAGCAGAGAACCCGATGCGGGGCTCGATCCCAGGACCCTGAGATCATGACCTGAGCCGAAGGCAGAGGCTTTAACCACTGAGCCACCCAGGTGCCCCACCCCCCCGCCGTCTACTTTTTAATTGAGTTGCTAATTTATACAAATCCTTTAAGTGCATGCATTTTGAAAATACCTTTTATAGGTTTTTTTAAACATTATTCTCTTTAACACAAATATAATATGAAAATGTTTTGTTCGTAGTAAAGTAAGGGATTTCTGAAGTGGACAAATGACACTTTGTCCAAGGGATTGTGATTAATACCTCAGTGTTATCATTCATTCATTGAACAAACATGTCCCAATTAGATTGTAGGCTAGTGATATGGATACTACAAGGTACATCATCTCCATTTCCCAGGAGCGTACAAATCTTGTGAAAAAGAAAACCACAGTGTTAGTAGAGTGTGTATATATGTGAAAGAGTGAGCAAGAACCATAAAACTGAAGTTGTTTAAAGATTTGTTTCTCGGGCACCTGGGTGGCTCAGTGGGTTAAGCCTCTGCCTTCCACTCAGGTCATGGTCTCAGGGTGCTGGGATCCAGCCCCGCATCAGGTTCTCTGCTCAGCGGGGAGCCTGCTTCCCCCGCCCCCCGCCTGCCTCTCTGCCTACTTGTGACCTCTCTCTCTCTCTCTGTCAAATAAATAAATAAAATCTTAAAAAAAAAAAAAAGATTTGTTTCTCAAAAAAAGGAGAGATTTGAGTTCTCCGTTATCTTCTGGGGAAATCAGATTATGGATGATAATGTCTCAAATTCAGCATTGTTATTGGTCACAGCAATTGGGATCTGTAATTAGCCACAGATTTTAGTGGGTCAGTTGCCTTAAATTACTTCTGACATGTATGTTAAGTCATCTGAATTGCAGTCTGCCATTGCGTCTTACCAGGATCCATAAATCTTTAGAAATCATGAGATATTTGAGCAGCCCTGACTAACCAGGTATGGGATAAATGAGGCTGGGATCGGTTGGTCTACACAATATTGAAGAGTTCCTCTTGCAGCGTGGACCTGAGTGCTACAAACCTATACACTTGAAACATTCTTCATAGAGTTAGTCACACACATGACTCTGTGCCTGTGGCTTTTAATTTGCTTTTATTGTACTTTGTTTTCACTTCCTAACTCCCTTGTCCATTTGCTTTAAAGGATTATTATTATTGCTTTCAGGATGTGTATTTCAGTTAGACTTCTTAACTCAGTGGTACAGTCACAGTAAGCGAAATGGATGCTCACTTTTAAACTGTTACATAGATAGATGAATAGCTAGGTAGATAGTAGTTACCTTTAGGAGGGCCACTGCCTAACTGTGGGAAGACAAGGAGAGAGGGAGACTTACTTTTCATTATATTCCCTATTGGATGTTTGAATTATATGTCATGTATATACATATTACCCATTCAAAAATGTTTAAGTTTTAACAAATTAAATTAATAAATACTTCAAATAAAATTGACATAAGCAATGTAGAGCTAATGCTTAAATAATTAATAACACTGGCCCTTTGTCTGAGATTTAAGAGCAGCTTCCCTAACTTACCCTATGGGCTGCCTTCCAGTGTTAGTGACCTTGACCAAACGAAGAGAGCACTATTCCCAGTTGGGAGTCATGAGAGTGGTTTGGCCTGATTATTGCCAATACTCTTATTTCAGATTGCCAGTACTGCTTTAACTCTTCTATAAATCTGCTCCCTCAGAGGGACTGACGGGGAGACTCATGAACCCTACCCTGGCCGGGAATGACCATCATGGCTGCATCACAGCCTGGTGAGAGTCCTAAAATAATGCTCGCTGCATGGAAAATATCAAGTTTAAAAGACTTTAGTGTAGAAGATGGATCAGGGTTACACAGCTGTTTTCTAATGGAAAAGGGGTCTAAAAACTTCTATATAAGGAAATTCATGGGGTGCCTGGGTCGCTCAGTGGGTTAAAGCCTCTGCCTTTGGCTCAGGTCATGATCTCAGGGTCCTGGGATCAAGCCCCGAGTCTGGCTCTCTGCTCAGCAGGGAGCCTGCTTCCCTTCCTCTCTCTCTGCCTGCCTCTCTGATTACTTGTGATCTCTGTCAGATAAATAAATAAAATCTTTAAAAAAAAAAAAAAGTTGGCAGTCGTGGGAATAGGTGATAGCATACTCTGATATCAGGGGTAGCAAGTCAGAGTGCTAGCCTTAGGAAGTATGTTTCTCATCATCCTCAGGGACTTAAGAATCTGTTTGCTTTGTGGGGGTTAACAGTGATGTACATTTTACAGATGCTGATTGTTCAGTCCATGAGACAGGAGTGTCTCATGGGGCTGCAATGTGGCAGTGATGTGGCAATGGTAGTCATTCTTTGCCATGGTGGAATTTATGGGCTTCCTCACCACTCCCCTTGAGGTAATGGGATTTTCCAATTGTTTAAGCGCAGAGTAGAGTCAACCTGAAAGGCCTGGCTGAATTGGGGAAGTTGCCCCGAATGCAATGAAGGGTGGTCAGCATGATTGTTTGGTGAGAATGTGGCTGAAGTGGACTGTACAGGTAGGACTGGATTAGGGAGCTCTGGCCAGCAAGTGCTAGGGTACCCCTTTCAGGTTGCCCTAGAAGGCTGGTACCGGGCATGTCCGGGGTCTGTTGTAGGTTCCCGGCTCCCGAGAGGTCCTGGAATAGTCAGGAATAATCTTAGTGGACTTAGAACCCCCATTCATAGGGCTCCTTTGAACATCCTACCAATCCCTTTAACTTAAACGCAAGATATGGGAGCCGAATGCAGAGGGCACCTTTTCACAGGGCTCTTTCTCTGGGAAGTGAATCACAGTGGATCCACGTTCAGGTATATTCTAGAGGCAGACCTCTGGGAGGGAATCCTGTGACTCAACTGGGGAATCTCTATTAGACTTACCTACTAGAAACCTTTAGGAAAGACTGGATCTCCAATTTCTCATTGATTTTCACTTGCTTCTTTCCCAGTTCTTGGTAGGGAAGAATTGGCAGGCTACCACAGGAGAGGCAGTGTAGTATGATGAAGACAAAATAAAGCTTGGAATCAGGCAAATCTGAATTTCATTACTACTAGCTCTGTGATTCTGAAGAAGTTACTTACCCTCTCTGAACATAAGTTTCCTGTCCCCTGTTTGGAACTATTTACTATGCTGTAACTTTTTATTTTGTATTTTAACAAATACACTTTTTGAAAAGCAAATAAGATCATTTTTAAAAAGGAATATTCAGACATAAAGTAAGATCAAACAGAGACAGAAACAAATTCTAATAAATCCCTAAGTGCTGGACAGGTTTTTTTCCAAGCTAGAAAAGTCAGAATCTAACCTGAACATTGAAGGTGATAGTGTGGGTTTGGAATCACTGCCCCTGCATCAGTGCATGGTGTGCTCAGAGGGAGAGACTTAGTATTTGGACAAGTGCACACTTTTTTTTTTTAAGATTTTATTTATTAATTTGACAGAGAAAGACAGTGAGAGAGGGAACACAAGTAGGGGGAGTGGGGGAGGGAGAAGCAGGCCTCCTGCTGAGCAAGGAGACTGATGTGGAGCTTGATCCCAGAACCCGGGGATCATGACCTGAGCCGAAGGCAAACACTTAACTGACTGAGCCACCCAGGCACCTTGCACAATATTTCTAACTTGGTAGCATATTAAGTCCATTTTTGTCTAAAGCATTTTTTTAATTGAAGTTAGTTGACACACAATGTTACATTAGTTTCAGGTGTACAATGTAATGATTCAACCTCTCTATACACTTATGCTGTGCTCACCACAGTGTAGCTGCCATATGTCACCAAACAACACTGTCACATTCAGTGTATTCCTTATGCTGTGCCTTTCATCGCCTTGAATGAGTTAACTGGAAAGGGACCTCCCCCTCACCTTCACCCATTATGCCTACCCCAACCCTCCTCATCAGTGCATTTTTTAATTTGAAAAGCTTAGTAATTGTAACCATAGCATTACTTACCCCATTGCTTAATTCCTTTATCTTGCCTCACAATAAAGCTTTTCTGTTATTTGCTGACAGAGACTCGTTTTTTTACTAGAAGCAAACAAAGGTCATATGAAACCTGGGGCCCTGTGTTTATAGTCAGGAATACTGAGAATGGTGTGTCCCAGGGCTAGAGCCAAACACAGCCTTCTAATAAGAGCCTAATGAGGTTTTGATTGTTTGTCTTAGGTGTACTTTCAGATTTTTTTTTTCCTCAGTAAGGTTTTCTGAATTGATATTCAGTGAGGTTCAGTGAACCTCACCCAAATACAGTGAAAGAAAATTTTAAGAGTGTTAAAAACAGAAACATTTAGGGGCGCCTAGGATTAAAGCCTCTGCCTTCAGCTCAGGTCATGATCTCAGGGTCCTGGGATCGAGCCCTGTGTTTGGGTTCTCTGCTCAACAGGGAGCCTGCTTCCCTTCTCCTCTCTCTGCCTGCCTCTCTGCCTACTTGTGATCTCTGTCTGTTAAATGAATAAATAAAATCTTTAAAAAATAATAATTTAAAGCAGATGAAAGTAGTCTGAAAATATTCTGACTTCTTAAGCTTCCTTTTTAAATAAAAAGTGAATCTTTGAATTAGGGATGCGCAAGTAAGGAAAATGAATAGTTCCTGCTTGAAAAACTTAACCTAGGGGGGAAAATTCTACCTGGGCAGAATTTATGATTTTGACCCGGAAATCTGAGCTTGACACCTGGGGCTGCTGCTAAGCTCTGAAGGGTCAGCGTTATCCATAGCAGCTCCATCAGCCAGGGTCCCCCTCAGACAGCAGTGTGACAAATGGGTTGTTAACTATTTAGAAGCTAAAGAGGGAGACCATGAAATAGAGATCCATTTATTTAAGCCAAAAAAGTTTCGCCTCATTTTATTTTTTTAAGATTTTATTTGTTTATTTGAGAGAGAGAGAATACAAGCGAGGGTGTGGGAGGTGGGAGAAAGAGGAAGAGAGAACCAGGCTCCCCATTGAGCTCGGAGCCTGATGGGGACTCAGTCCCAGTACTCCAGGACCATGACCTGAGCTGAAGGCAGACGCTTAACTGACTGAGCCATCCAGGGGTCCCTGTTCCCCTCTTTTTAATACTGTCATTCATTATCAAGATCAAACATGTAAGTTTGTAAGTTTGAATATAAGAATTCATTCATTTGAAGAAATGGCTTCTTAAAAAGTGGAGAAAAAGGAGAATAAATACTAACTTCAGAAGGTGTTCCCTGAAATACTCCTGCTTAGTCTCTTTTCCTTGGGAGTTTCCTGCTCCTTACTTGGATCCTTGCTGTTTGGGACCCAGTGGCCAGCATGCCTCCTGCACCAAGGCTGTCTGGTTCCACTTCCAGCCTTCTCCTGGGTGCTGTGGGCAGCCCTTCTCCTCTGCACAACCCTCCCGCAGGGTTGGTTAGCTGCCTCACCCGCCAATGCGTGGTCTGTGCTGTTTGGGGAGTTAAAAGCTGGTGATTTTTTGGATGAGGTAATCTTTTTTTTTTTTTTTTTTTTTTTTAGGGTGAGGTAATCTTAAGCCACACCTCAGACACAGCCTCAGAAATAGGGAAATCAGGAAACAAAGGTTTTTAAAGCTCTGCCTGGCGAGAGAAAGAGCAAAGTTTTAAAATGTGTTGTAGTTGGGGTGCCTGGGTGGCTCAGTGGGTTAAGCCTCTGCCTTCAGCTCAGGTCATGGTCCCAGGGTCCCATGGTCCTGGGATCGAGGCCCACATGGGGCTCTCTGCTCAGCAGGGAGCATGCTTCCCCATCTCTCTCTCTGCCTGCCTCTTGGCCTAAGTGTGATTTCTCTCTTTCTCTATCAAATAAATAAACAAAATCTTTTTTAAAAAATGTGTTGTAGTTTGTTTTCAGCCAAGTGGGAGCCCTCCCGAGCTGCTCTCAGTTTAGTTCAGGAAGTTTAATTCAACAAGTGTATGCCAAAGTCCCAGGGCCCAGTGGAGGGGGGCTGACTGCTGTAATGAGAAATCAACCATTTCTGGGGAGCTACCAGAATTGCAGGGCACTTCAGGATTGAATGGTATGCATTTAAGTAAACCTTCCTCTTGCTAGTCATTTAAAGCATCAATAAGCTGAAAAGTTCTGTTGTTGTTTTTTGTTTGTTTGTTTGTTTGTTTGTTTTTTGAGAGACAGGGCAGGAGCAGGGGAGGGGCAGAGGCAAAGGGAGAAGCAGACTCCCCACTGAGCAGGGAGCCCAACTGAGGACTCGATTCCAGGACCCTGAAATCACAGCCTGAACCAAAGACAGACCCTCAACTGACTGAGCCCCTCAGATGCCCCTGTTTGTTTTAAGTAGGCTCCATGTCCATCGTGGGCCCCAAGCCAAGGCTTGAACCCATAACCCTGAGATGAAGACTTGAGCTGTGTGATCAGGAGTCAGATGTTTAACAGACCTAGCCACCCAGGTGCCCCCCCAAAAGTTCAGGGTTTTAATTGTGGCTTTTCCACTTCCCAGCTCTGATGCCCTAGAAAATTTACTTAACCTCTCTGAACCTTGCTGGTTCCTGTGTAAAATGGAAACCCCTCTCCTGGCATCCACCCACCTCATGACTGTGGTCCATGTTGTGGGCCCTGCCCCCTGGGGCCACGGAACAGTCTTTCCCTAAATCTGCACGTCCATGTGAGCCTGCCCATTCCAGAGTGGGTTTCCCTGGGCATTGACACCCCTGCTTCCTTACTTCATACCTCTCCAGGTCATTTCATCTTGTGCTACTTCTCCTCTTTTGAATGTACCATTTTTTGCTAAAGACTTCTGAGAACTTTCCAGTTGAGAAACCAGGGTGACTTAAAACAAGGAGCCACAGGTTCAGAACTCATGGATAGCTGAAAGGCCTTCACCACCTTTCCTCTGGGTTTGCTTGTTTTCCTTTTCAGGCAGTGAAAATAATGTAACTCATCTCCCTTTCCAACCTAAGTGCTGGCTACTTGTGGCTGATTCATCTCAAGTTCCCCAGGACATTTTTTCTCTTTCTATTTAAGTAGCCTTATTCCATATTTTCCCCCGAATTTCTTATTCTGAACTACATTTTGTATTCTTTTTTTTTTTTTTTTAAGATTTTATTTATTTATTTATTTGAGAGGGAGAATGAGAGCGAGATCACAAGCTGGGGAAGGGGCAGAGGAAGAAGCAGGCTCTCTGCTGAGCAGGGAGCCCAGTGTGGGACTTGATCCCATGACCTGAGCTGAAGGCAGAGGCTTAACCTGCTGAGCCACCCAGTCGCCCTGCAGTTTGTATTGTCTTATAGTTGGGGTATACAACCTAAATAAAGTACTTAAGACCCTACATTTAGTATTTCATCATCCACATTTAATATACACACAGAAGTTTTACCTGTCATGCACTCCTGTACCCCAGTGTGGTTCCCCTTAGCTATTACAAAGACATTCAGACAATTTTGTGACTATAAAACATGCAGTTCTCAAGTGAAATGTTAATTGCTGCTTCTACTTTTCTTCCCCCTGCCTCTCCCCACCATTTTCTTCTAATATAAATTCATGTGTGTTTTTTTTTTTTCCCCTTCCTCCACCTCTGTTTACAAATAAATCCTCTTTTTCTCCCATACTGTAGTGTGATATGGCCACTGGTGGTGATAGACAGAGAGACCAAGAAGTTAATGTCAAAGAATTGAGACCAACAAAAATGAAACCCGAACTTCTGAGTGGGCACATCCCTGCAGGCCACATCCCTAAACCTATCGTGATGCCTGACTATGTCGCGTGAGTGTTTGTTTAAATCCTTCTTCAAGGCAGAAATGGAGAGATCCTATTTGTCTCCAAGTTCATGCTCTCTGCTTGACAACATTTATATTTAAACAGTTGTTTGTTCCTGGAGAGGTAGGATATTGAATTGAAGATACGGCATGGTCAGTGAGGAATAAGCTAGGCTGATTTTCCGTTCAGCCTGTTTTCAGTGAAAAAGTCACAACGTTGGTTAATTTTTTCCATCAGAAAATACCCTGTGATTCAGACGGAAGATGAACGAGAACGCTACAAAGCTGTGTTCCAAGACCAGTTTTCAGAGTATAAAGAGCTCTCTGCAGAAGTCCAGGCCGTCTTGAGGAAGTTCGATGAGCTGGATGCAGTGATGAGCAGATTGCCTCGTTGTTCAGAAAACCAGCAGGTCAGTGCCTACAGCTGCCTGGGAGGGGCCCTGAGAAAGGAAGGGTAAAATCCGACTTTCACGTGAATGTGGGGCAGCCATAATCACCATGTGCATCTGCTGTCTATGTCTCAGAAAGTCATTTGAGGTCTTCAAGGGCACTAGTCAGGATTATAATTCACATTATATAGTTTTGTATCTTCTGCTCTCAATTATTAAACAGTTATAAAACAATCATTTTCTTTTCTTAGGCAAAAAATAAATTTTCCTAAAATACATACTGAATCCATCAGGGTCCTAAAGGAGACTGATGGCACACTCAAACTGAGACAATTCGAAAAAGATTTATTCACAAAGGTGTGGGCAGGGTGTAGGGGAGCAACCAGGGTTCATGCATTCTCCAGATTCTCCAGGGATAAGTGACGGCCAAGCCGTGAGCACCCCAGATCCAAAGAGCACAGTGCATAACGACAGAGTAGATCTGAGCCACTGGGCATACACATCCACACATTATATGGATAACCGTGATCATGACAGCGGGAGCTAGGGAAGAGTCACAGCAGTAACCAGGGACTCAGTCACTTTCCATAAGGTTCTAGAGTTTGGGCAGGGGTGGGGGAGGGGAGTGTCGCATTTTAGTATTTCTGAAATCAGGATGCCCTGATAATCCGTGGCACTTTTTATCAGATGTACATTTTTTATTGAGACACAATTCACATGCCATAAAACTCATCCTTTTAGACTGAACAATTCACAGGGTTTTAGTACATTCGCAAAGTTGTATAACCATTAGTACCCCCTAATTCCAGAACATTGTCATCACTCCAGCAAGAAACCCCATACCCATCAGTACATATTCCCCATCCCTGCCCCCTCCCACCACTGACAACTACTAATGTACTTTCTCTATAGAGTTCCTTATTTTGAACATTTTCTATAAATGGAATGATGTAATATGTGGCCTTTTGCATCTGGCTTTTCATAACATTTTTAAGGTTCATTTTTATTGTAGTAAGATTCAGTATTTCATTCCTATCTGTGATATTTATTGTATGTATCACATTTTCTTTTTTTTTTTTTTTAAAGATTTTATTTATTTTTTTGACAGACAGATCACAAGTAGGCAGAGAGGCAGGCAGAGGAGAGAGAAGGAAGCAGGCTCCCCGCTGAGCAGAGAGCCCGATGCGGGGCTCGATCTCAGGACCCTGGAATCATGACCTGAGCTGAAGGCAGAGGCTTTAACCCACTGAGCCACCCAGGCGCCCCATATGTATCACATTTTCTTTATCAACTTATCACCTGATGAACATTTCAGTTTTTTTCCACTTTTTGGCTGTTATGAGTAATGCTCTGAACATTTATCTGTAATATCCTAACTTTTAAAAAGACTGTGTATTAGTCTAAACTATTATTTGTATAATTCAAAAATTTTTATAAAGATTTTTATTTCTTTGTTTGACACACAGAGAGAACACAAGCAGGGGGAATAGCAGGCAGAGGGAGAGGGAGAAGGAGGGTTTCCGCTGAGCAGGGAGCCTGATGCGGGGCTCGATCCCAGGAGCCCGGGATCATGAGCTGAGCCGAAGGCAGATGCTTAACTGACTGAGCCACCCAGGCGCCCCTATAATTCAAATTTTTAAAACTCACAGCATTTTTAACAAATGTCAAGCAAGTTAATGTATATATATAACTAACATATATTTTATATATGTGTATTTTGCTCCTGTGATGTGTAAGGACTAGGCATCTTTGTTTTGACCACAGACTATTAAGTGTACATTTAAATCAGTTATTATTATGAGCTCTCTAAGCCAAAATGTCCAGAGTAGTAACTTTTCCCACTCCTGGAGCAAAGGAATGGTGTTTTCTAGGCGGTGCCAGTACCAGGAAGCAGGAAAAATCCCGCAAATATTGCAGGTCAGGGGTCACTTGGTACCATTTGAAAGACAAACAGGGTCCAGAGGTCCAAGAAGGATGCCCAAATTTATAGGCCCTTGAAGGAGTGCAGGAAGGATTGAGCAGGCCTCTGGAGACTGTGTCGGCACAGGCTGGGAAGAGCAAGCTGGCTGACAGACAGGATGCTGAGCGGTCTAGTCATGTCGTCTTTGAGCCTAGACACAGTGGGCTCTGGTTTATGGCTTTGTGTGAATGGGCAAGGGCTCTGCCAATTGAGTCTGCACCTGATGGATGGGAAGGACCTGATTATAGTAGGGACTGAAACTGGGTCCTCCCGTGATATTTCTGTACAGTATTAACAGTAGTTGTTTCCTGTGGTTTGTACAGAGCGTGGTGAGTAAGTAGCCAAATGACAAGGCCACTGTTAGTCTCCATGTCTCCTGAAGTCCCTATCTAAAGTAGAAATATTAATTGTATCACAAAAGTTAACTTCTCATCAGCCACAGGCTGAGCTTTGCCGTGGGCAGGAGTCAGAGGGAAGGCCTGTTGGTTTCCTGACAGGTCCCCAGGGTGGTGTTCAAAAGCCCAGTGGTCCGGTTTGGAGCGATAGGTTTTCCCACGGACCTGCTTGTGTGCCCTTGAAAAATGAATCACATGACTTTTCTACGCCTATAAAATAAGAATATTGCTCAAAATAACCTGGTCCTCACTGTCTAAAGTTCCGTTTGTCTTTTTTTTTTTAAGATTTTATTTATTTATTTAACAGAGAGAGAGAGAGATCACAAGTAGGCAGAGAGGCAGGCAGAGACAGAGGAGGAAGCAGGCTCCCAGGAGAGCAGAGAGCCCTCAGGGCTCGATCCCAGAACCCTGGGATCATGACCTGAGCCAAAGGCAGAGGCTTAACCCACTGAGCCACCTAAGTGTCCCTAAAGTTCCATTTTTCTGACAGCCTCTAGTATAGGTTTTGCCATTCTTATCTCAGCCTGCATCACCCTCACCGCACCACTGGCCCCAGCAGCTAGTTTCTTCCCAGTCCAGGCCCTCTTCAGAAAGGTGACAACTAAATTAGCCGGTCACCTCAATGCTGGCAAACAATCAAAGCACAAATGACACTCCTGCAAAAGACACGAAAGAATTAGAATAGGTCGCATAAATAATGTGGGTGGGTGATGAGAAATGTTCTCAGGGAGGGCTTTTAGAACTACAAATATTTTTTTTCCTATTTTACTTATTGGATTTATGGTATCTGACAACTCTAAAGCACAGGTTTTACATGGATAAATTGCCCTAGTAACCTGTTCCCCTTGGATAGACTGTTCAGTCCATTAACAAATTTCGTATTTGTTATAAATACGTTCTTAGTTGAAGGAACCTTACTTAGTTATTTTTGAAAGTCAAATAGTCTCAACCTCTTAATCCCAGTGTGTGATGTGGTTATTACATACCAAGCACTTTACCAGGGTCATTTCAAATACGTGAACCTTCTCACAAACTTGGGGTTGCCAGGAAGGTAACAGAGTCCTGGGACCAACTGGTTGCCCAGGCTAGACAGCTGCTGTGTGGTGGCCCTGGGACTCGGTGCTGGTTTCATGCGGGCGGGGCCTTCCTCTCTTATTCACCCCTAGACTCCAGTGTGTGTGGCAGGCAGGAAGCCTTCTAATCTTTGTCCAGTGAATCGAATTTTAGTGTGTGAATACTTTCATTGTAGTCTTAGATAAAAATGATTTTCTGTTCAAATTCCCAGTGTACATAGATATTCTTAAGATATGATTTGAGTAAATGCAGGTGTTTTAATTCAAGTGTACAATATATTATTTTTAGGAACGTGAGAGAATTTCAAGAATCCATGAAGAGTTTAAGAAAAAAAAGAATGTGAGTAAACCCATTTTCTTCTTCAGAGTATATTCGTATGCACGTACAGTGGTGACAGCTGACAGACCTTAGATTCTTTCAGCTAAAGTAGCTCTTTTTTTTTTTTAATTTTATTTTTTATAAACATATATTTTTATCCCCAGGGGTACAGGTCTGTGAATCGCCAGGTTTACACACTTCACAGCACTCACCATAGCACATACCCTCCCCAATGTCCATAATCCCACCCCCCCCAACACCCCTCCCCCCATTAACCCTCAGTTTGTTTTGTGAGATTAAGAGTCACTTATGGTTTGTCTTAAAGTAGCTCTTTTTTAATATTTCTTCAGATGCTACTTACTAGAGAACAGGAGTGGCTCCTGAATGCCTTTTCTTCTCTTCTCTGTTGTGAACACATTCTGTTACAGCCTGGGTTCTAGCAACCTATAGAAAGGAGCACCAATATAGGACTTCTCACTGACATTTCCTTCAAAAAAAAAAAAAAAAAAGTCATTTTACATTTTTCATTCCATCCTTAATTGCACAGTAGAGGCTGGAGAGAGCTTCTGTTAATCTTTTCTGTACTTAAGTAATTTGCTCTTTAATATATTTTAAACTATTGAAGTTAAAGTTGTTCTCAGCTTTCTGTATTTCCCATTCAATTTTGCTATGAAATGGAAAGTATTCTAAAAAATAAAATCATCTTTAAAAATGTAAGGAGCTGCTATTCTTCTTAGGAAGATTTTAAAATCTGTTGCAAGATATCTGCTATGAAGGGTCATTTTCTGGGTGATAATACGTTTCTGTGTTCTTCTCTGAGGAAACTAGAAATGAAAATATTGGTTGTGTTTCCTTTGCAGGATCCCACATTTCTGGAAAAAAAAGAACGCTGTGATTATCTGAAGAATAAACTTTCTCACATAAAGCAAAGAATTCAAGAATATGATAAAGTAATGAACTGGAATGTGCAAGGTTATTCTTAAACCTTATTTGAAACCACTTTTTTAATGTTAAACTTAATATTTATTTACTGTTTTTTCCATGCTAGTCTGTGATAGAGAAGCATGTGCTTTCTGCATGGGCTTCTTGTTGGTTTAGCTGGTCTGCCATACTATGATAGTATGACTTCACTTCAAGCATTTCAAAATAAGTCCAGATTTACCAAGGACTTACTCAGAATGGAAGAAATGCTGTGTCCATCTGTGTACAGTTTATATTTAACCTGTTAGAGGTAAAAGTTGTTTAGAGGTCTTATCCTCACAGTGTGATGAGCACACAGAGCATCATTCTGGGGCTGTTTTCTCCTTTTTAACTCAGGCCGGCTCCTGGGGTTTCTCTAGGACATGTTTGTCTTCTAAGCCAAGGCATCCTCCTTCTCTTGAAAGGGCCTTGAATCCGGGATCAACATTTCCAAGTTTTAGGATCTCAGGCAAGTTTCCGTATCTCTCTGTGCCTATTTTCTCATCTGCAAAAGTGGAGCTAATGGTAGTGCCTACCTTGTAGGGTTGTTGTGAGGCTGAAATAAGTAATGTTTGTAAAGCACTTAGAAGAGACTGCGGCACGTTACACACAGTCCATTAGCGCATGCGGTCCGTAGAAGTGACTGTGACGTGAACACACTGCCGTGGGAAGGTTCTTACTGAGCACACTCAACCAGTTAACCAGAAGGCCCACCTGTCTCATGGGTTTCCTTTTTTGCCCTTAATACCTCTTACCACATGTAGCCTTAAGCAGGTGCTTCCCTGTGGTTCTGTGGCCACTGGGGTCCACCGCACGCTTCCTATCATGAATCGCTATCACTGTGCACAGAGGTCTGCCTCCCCACAGCCCAGTCCGATGCCAGGATTGTGTGACCCCTGTTGCCTCTTCTGCCCTGTTGGCTAAGGTCCCATGACCCTACATTTGCTTAGAATCTCCTTTCGATTTACTGTGATGCTTCATCTTCCCAACCACTCTCTTGCCTGTGGGGCTTTGTCCATGAGAAGTATTTTATTTTTAGTAGTATGAACAATGGACTACCTAAACAAATGTTTTTAAGAAGTCATTGCTCCTGGATCCTATTCAGCAGGCTCTGTCCTGTGGCAAGTTTCCTGGGTGCAGAAGTACACCATAGCTGCCATTCGAACAGGTAATGTTCAGACAATTTTCTAAAGCAATGAAACCAAAGAAAAGCATGTGGAAAAGCAGAGCCTTCAAAAGCGTTGGATATTGGGACGCCTGGGTGGCTCAGTTGGTTGGACGACTGCCTTCGGCTCAGGTCATGATCCCGGGGTCCCGTGATCGAGTCCCACATCGGGCTCCCAGCTCCATGGGGAGTCTGCTTCTCCCTCTGACCTTCTCCTCGCTCATGCTCTCTCTCACTGTCTCTCTCTCAAATAAATAAATAAAATCTTAAAAAAAAAAGAAAAGCGTTGGATATTGAATGGACTTCCTTGTTTTTCTTTATCTTTGAAATCTTATTTAGTGTTTATTGTTACTATTTTAATACCGTGGCTCCCAGAGTATGCTTACTCTGAGATACCCTACGTGTCTCAAGAGTTGACACCTAGGGAAGTGTGAGACCCCTCTCAAAGCCCCCCCCTTAACTGGAACAGCCTCACTTTCTGTTTTATATGTTAGGGTCCTATGTTAACATTTTGCTTAAGAAGCACACCAGTGCTTTAAAAAAGGGAAAAAAAACGAAACCATGAATAATACCATTTTGATGGATCGTAAGGAGTTAGATTCATAGTGAAATGAGGTGTTAAAAAATTTAACTTTGTGAAACTTAATTTTACTATAATTGTAAATGTTAATCTTTGAAAACCAATGTTGTAACACTAACTTTTAAAATTTCTCATGTCAGTACCTAGACTTATTAAAATTTCAACTACTTGTTTTTTCTGTGTGCCCTTCCTTGTTTGTTTTTCTAGCATTCCTGTGTTGACTGGGCATGTTCTTGAAAATATTTTCCATTATCAGAAAACAAACTGGAAAGTCATTGAAAACCTCATGATGTTCAGGTGACAGTTTCCTCCTCCCCCATTATTTGCAAAAATTCAAAGCCAAGGCCACTGTGTACCACAAGCTGAGTGGCTTACAACAACAGAAATCTATTGTCTCACGGTTCTGCAGGCGGACATCAAGATGTCAGCAGGGCCATGCTCTCTGAAACCAGTAGGGAAATCCTTCTTAGCTTTTGGTGGTTTGCTGGCAATCTTTGACGTTCCTTGGCTTGTGTGTTTATCACCTCAGTCCTCACCCCAATCATCTGCCTTCACACTGCCTTCTCCTTGTGTCTCAGGCTTCATTTGGCTGTCTTCTTATCAGGACACCAGTCGTATTGGATTATGGACCCACCCTCTCATCTGTGACCTTATCTTAACTAATTACCCCTGCAAAGACGCAGTTTCCAAATAACATCATTGTTCTAACCTCTTGGTGTACCAGAGGTTAAAACTTTTTTTCCAGGGGGAGGATACTATTCAACCTGTAACAGCCACCTGTAGCAAAGTTGTGACATCTGGAAGCAAAGATATTTCCCTGTACATTTTCCTTTTTCCAGATGACTTTAACATGTATCCTAATTTGAAACTTAATAGGAGAATATGTCAGTATATCTAAAACTTAGAAGAAAGTACATATTCTTCAGTCATGCATTTGCCAGTTCTGTGCCAAATGCTTTTGTCAGCCAGATACTGTTCTAGCATGGAAGACCCAGTAGTTGGTGAAGCCGAGGACCTGGGGCTATTGTCTAAGGGGATATCTGAGTGAGAAGGCCCGGGCTTGGTGACGAAGTACACGTTTCTGTTATGCGCGTCTCTAGAAATGGTTTGTGTACTGAACCTGATACTGGGATGCACCAGTGTTCAAAAGATAGGCAATATAGGAAAAATCTATAATTTTTTTTCTGATTCTCATCTTTTAAAAAAAGAAAACTATTACAGAAAAAAAATTTTTTTTAAAGATTTTTATTTATTTATTTGACAGACAGAGATCACAAGCAGGCAGAGAAGCAGGCAGAGAGAGAGGAGGAAGCAGGCTCCCTGCTGAGCAGAGAGCATGATGTGGGGCTCGATCCCAGGACCCTGGGATCAGACCTAAGCTGAAGGCAGAGGCTTTAACCCACTGAGCCACCCAGGTGCCACAGAAAAAAATTTTAAGAAAAAACAACTAGTTAAGTATAAAAGCTTAGAAAATAAAAGTCCCAACACTATTGGGGTGTCTGGCTGGCTCATTCAGTAGAGCATGTGACTCTTCATCTTGGGATTGTGAGTTCAAGCCCCATGTTGGGGGTAGAGTACTTTAAAAATAAGTAAATAAAAGTCCCACCGTTATCAATTCCATGCCCTGGCAGTATATGCTGTTTGGAACATATCCTTCCAGTCTTTTTATGATACATATAATCATTTTTAAATTGTCTAATACCTTAAATGTGTTTTTAAAGAAGAGTAACTGAGAGGCCACACCAGCCTCTGCAGAGCAACTCTTCTATACTAGAGAAGCTGGGAGCAGTCAGAAGGTAGGAGAGTTGGTGCAGCCCAGCAGACGGAGAAGGTGGACTTTTGAGCTCACTACAACCCAGACTCCATTACTTGCTGTGTGATCTTGACGGTTGAACCTCTGTAAGCATCAGCCTCCTTATCTGTGACATGATGATACCATTATTACCTGATGAAACTGTTGTACAAAAACAGGGGCGGGGGAAATCACCTGGGTGGCTCAGTTCGTTGAGTGTCTGCCTTCAGCTCAGGTCATGACCCCATGGTCCTGGGAATGAGCCCCACATCAGGCTCCCTGCTCAGTGGGGAGCCTGCTTCTCCCTCTCCCTCTGCCTGCCTCTCTACCTGCTTATGCTCTCTGTCAAATAAAGAAATAAAGTCTTAAAAAAAAATTAAAACGGAATGATGCATGTGACATACATGCATCAGGGAGATGTTGCTCAATAAGTGGTGAAAAGTATACTTTTCATTGAGTTAGATAATGAGTTGGCTATTTTATTTTATTTTATTTTTTTTAAAGATTTTATTTATTTATTTGACAGGCAGAGATCACAAGTAGGCAGAGAAGCAGGCAGAGAGAGAGGAGGAAGCAGGCTCCCCTTTGAGCAGAGAGCCCGATGTGGGGTTTGATCCCAGGACCCTGGGATCATGACCTGAGCCAAAGGCAGAGGCTTTAACCCACTGAGCCACCCAGGCACCCTGAGTTGGCTATTTTAAAAGTACAATATCAAAATGACTAATAATAACAGTAATAAAAGGCTTTTTCAGAAAGTGTATAGGTAGCACATTTATTACAGAAAATTTAGAAGATGAAGGTAAGCTCATACTTTTCCTCCCAAACACACACAAAATTGCCCATAATTCCAGCCCTCAGAGGTAGTCCCTGGTAACATTTTGGATCATATCCCTCCATTCTCATCTTACTCAGGTATGTATTTCTTACATATATAAAGAAGAGCTTTGGTATTCACAAAATTTTTAAAAAATTATGTATTATGTTGTGTTTTAACTAAAACTAGATCATTTAATTTTTCTGAATTTAGAGTTTTTATGTTCTCTATTTCATTTTAATGCAATTCAGTTACATAATTGTTTTAAAGTTATTTTCTTTTAAAGATTTTATTTATTTATTAGAGAGAGCATGTGCACAGTGGGGGAGTGAGGGGTGGAAATCCAGATGGAGAGGGAGAAGCAGGCTGTCCTCTGAGCAGGAAGCCTGACAAGGGGCTTGATCCCAGGACCGGGGGGAACCTGACCTGAGCCAAAAGCAGATGCTAAACTGACTGAGCCACCAGATGTTCCTGTTTTAAAGTTATTAATGTTCACATCATAAAAAGCAAGGAATGGGAATTAAATCTAAGTCCAAACTGTGTGACCCTCAGGCAAGTCACTTAACTCTTCTGAGCAATGAGAGCATATGAGATTTAAAAAAAAAAAACAAACCTGAAATCATATTGTAAACAAATTCTCTATGAAAATGCTTACATTTAATTTTACATTTTTGGTCCTATTTGAAGTTTTTTGAGGAAACTCCATACTGTTTTCCACAGTGGTTGCACCAATTCACATTCCCACCAACAGTGCACAAGGGTTCCCTTTTCTCTACAACTTCACCAATACTTGTTATTTCTTGTCTTTTTGATTCTAGCCATTCTGACTGGTGTAATGTGTTATCTCATTGTGGTTTTGATTTGCATTTCCCTAATGAATAGTGATATTAAGCATCCTTCCATGTGTCTGTTGGCCATCTGTATGTATGTCTTCTTTGGAAAAATGTCTATTTAGGGAAGC